GTCCATGGAAATGTGATATCCCCAGAGAGGTGGGTGGAGATTATAGAAAAGGGGGCACTACAGAAGAGTGAAGCAAGCGGTTATTCCACATTCCCTGAGATGTTCCTTGATTGTGGACCACTCCCCTGTCCTTTCTGCATGTTTCGCTTTGTGGCTGTGATATTGCTAGGTAACAGCACCTGTCGCCCTTTGAAATTTTATAAGAAATATGTGATGTCAGGTCATAATCAAAAACAATGACAGTGGGTCACAATGGCTACACAATGAGTCACAAGGCCAAATCTCTTCCTGGAGAAATTTTTATTTTACATGGTCTGTCTTCATAGAGTTAGAACTCAAGAATCACAAGCCCATGGTATAGAAAGGGGTCTCTGGAAATGTGTTCCTAACTCCCTGCCCTTGCTCAGTGAGGGTTACCCACCACCCTTGCCTGCTGCAGCAGCCATTGATGCTGGATATGGAGGAAAGGTCAGCACAGTGGAGTTAATGCTGAAAGTCATGTTCTTGGTGCATATGTAGAGAGGAAGGACCAGAAAAACTAGTACTGATCCTGAGCCTGCTAAATGAATCCCTGTGCTGAAAGTTTCTCATCTGGCTCCTTATGTCTTCACTAACACGAGTTCAGTATAATTATTATGGTTGGCAGATGACAAATTATCACAAATGAATCTGCAGCTGACCATTGAGAGATCTGGGCTGCACCCAGTCTGTGGTCCTCAGAAGCCATGTATTTCCCAGCCTGCCACATGTCCATCTTGTCCCAGAGCCCTGCTCTTGAAGTTTCTTGCTCTATGACTCCATCACAGAGGAAGAATACAGAGTAATTAGGGGTATGAACTCTTTACTTGAGGGCCTGAAGTGAAACTCCAGATGTGGCTGTGGGCACATGTACAAAAGACTTAATTTTAGTTCCTTGCCCTTGTCTATAAAATGAGGGTAAAGTATTGCACCATATGACAGAAGCATTTTAAGAATTAAATGAGAGGGCCAGGGATTTAGCTCAGTGGTTTGGCCACCTGCTGCACAAACGCAAGGACCTGAGTTCAATCCCCGGTACCAAAAAAAAAAAAGAAAGAAATGAAAAAATGTATGCAGAACAAAGCCCAAGGCCTACTGTACAAAAACACACTCAGGAAGTACCAGTTGTTTTCACTAGTGACTAGCTGGAAGATATTTTTAGAGTCTAGAATTAAGTTGGTATCACATTTTTCCCAGTCATTAGAAGCAAGTGACACATGAATGAAGTCCATTTGTTGAAATAGTTCAGAGCGTACCAGTGAACCGTCTAAAAGAAGTCATCTTATATGTAAACTGGTAGTTTGCCATGGTAACATGAGGGCTAGGAGGTAATGGATGAATTTAAAATATCACTCAGTCTACTCTGCAATATCTAGCCATTCTGATTTTTCTAATTTAATCCAAGGCAGTTCCAAAGTGATAATGATCAAAGAGAAAAAAAAAATAAATCATGAAGTGAAGGCAAAAAAACACTAAAACTTACCAGTCTTATGTTTGAAACAAACTTCAGAATCAATAGTCACAACTAAAAAAAAGAGAGTAAGAATTTATCAATTATTCATGCTCATATTTTGAAAGGTATGTATTTATGAATATACATACATCTTATCTATATTTGCATATAAATTTATGAATATATATCAGTGAATGTTTTATATATAAAATATTTATTTGCATACAGATATATGTGCATAAAGTATAAATCCATAAAGAGACAGGAACGCATTAAAAATATGAATGCCACAATTACAGAAATAATTGGTCTTATTCCATGTAACCCAGTAGATATCATTGTTATCTTATATCTCTGCACATTAAGAAGTGGAAGATCATGTAGGATACATTTTTTTCTTTTTTATCTCATGGAAGTATATTGTCCAAGACAATCTGCAAGAAAGCAACCATATCATTCCAAATCATGCCAGTTCCCAAATAACTGTTCAAATCTTGTTGACCCTTGTGGAAACTAAGGGTCACAGAGGATAAAACCTCACTTGGGGAATCAGGATGGGGCACAACAAAGGCCTCTGGATTATTGATTAATATAACAGTCAGAATTATGACACACAGCACATTACTGGAGCTTTCTGGGCCCTCTGCCACCTGTGTAGACAGGTCCCTCATTGCATCGAAGGGATTGCTTTCAGACATCGTGCCTGAATCATGAGTGACACTGAGTGATTCAGAAAAAATGTACACTGTTCACTGTACCTGATCACCCTTGTGGCGCTAACTCATCCTCGACTACTCACCTCACTTCCCCTCCCTTCTGCATGCACAAATGTCCAGCAAACATTTCTAGAGCTGCATTTGCCAATGGCAAAAAATACACACATTGTGGAGAGTGCAGGCATGCTTGCACATGTAGGTCAGCCTCTCCCAATTTTTAACTTTTAAGTTAATTTTAAAATTAAATTTTGTCTAACAGTGATGTCTAAAATAAAAATCAGAAAATCTCAAGGCCACCATGGAATTCCAGTGGCAAACGATACTCTATTCTTTACTCAGCCAGGCTCTCACTCTTGCATCTGAAATCTTTGTCAGCTAAGAACTCCTATTTTTGTAAGTTTAATTTTGCAGAAGAGGATTGAAGTGAGTGACTTTGCTTGCTTGGTAGAATATTCAAGAAAGATGCATAATTATTCTTATTTCTCCACCAAAGTCATCAAAGGTGGCATTGCCACTTTATTTTTTTAATATTACTTTATTGGTACATTTTAGGTACACAATACAGTTACATTCATCATTGGGACCTTGCACCTTTATATGATGTATCTTGGTTCTTATTTTAAAGACTTTGTTTCCATTTTTTCATTTTCTCATATTAATTCCATTCCCTTCTTTCCTTTCCCCATCCCTCCTACTTCCCCTTCCCCTTTGGCCCTTTTCCTCCTATTTCACATTATCTATTATACCATTTAGTCCTTATTTACACTTTCAGTTTCTCACACTAGAGAAACTATTCGGTAATATATGTTGCTCATTGAATCCATTTAACAATTCTTAAGAAATGTCATGTGATCTTAATATTTTGGATAATGAAATTGAAGCTCAGCTTCAGTAAATTTTTCCACTTCTTTTCTCCAAAGGGTCTATTGTAATTCTGTAGGAAAATAACAGGTTAGTTGTGCTACCAATAAATAAAGTAACATTTTAGAAAGATGTACAATGCTTTTCATTATTTCAAGACAGAAAGGGTAAGGTGTTCTCTTGAAATAACTTTTCTAGAAGGTTATATCATATTTATGTTGATTTACACATACCTTCCTTTACGGGATCAAAGAGAATCTCTTGATCAACCCCTCCATTAGCCTCATGTTTGACGATACATTTGTGCTTTTTAGTCATGGAATCTCCAGTCACAGTTAACCAGCTAAACTTCATATAAGTGTCATTAGTCTTCATGGTATCTCCCTGCTGGGCTTCCAGAATCCTATTGTCATCTGTTCTCTTCCAATATACCTTAATCACATCAGGGAAAAAATTCTCCAGAAGACAAAGATATGTCCCAGTCTTATGGAGGTTTGTTTCAGCCACTGAAGGAAGAAAAACAGTGGGCTTGGGGGAAATAGCGTTGTTAAAGCTTTTATCTGTGAGGGAAATAGAATATCAATAAACAGAGTTACTGCAGGGTTTGAAACAACCTCATACACAGCAATAGGAAGAAAAAGTGCCACTGAATGAGTGCCCACCATGGTGGCCTTTCACCCCGACCTGTCATGAGGTAGCGATTACAGTCCTTGTTGTACAGCCATGCAAAGAAGTTCAAGAGGTTAATTAACTTTCCAAAAGTTACAAGTGGCAGATCCTGGTAGAAACTTATTTTTATTCCACATGTTACACTGGGGTTTGACTTACAGCTGGTCGTAACCAAGGTTTCCAATATTCATGAACACATTTTTAAAAATATCTCTTGTGCTTTTTCATATTAGAGGTCAGGAAGGGGAGACCGGGTCACTTGATGAGGATATGAGGTTCCTTCTAAAGATCTTCCCTTTCCTATCCTTTGTCATTTGTGTTGTCTGGCTAAATAACTGCCACTCTTATGTTTTGCAGTTCTATTCCACCCACAGTTCATTTGGCTGATTCTAGGATGCACCCTATTTGTCTTATTTCTTAGGAAGAAGGTTTCCATTTTTACATTTAACAATATGCCGCTGTTTGTTTTTACTAGGAATCTACTTCCTTGTGTATTTGAGCTTCATATGTAGATTCCAAGTCCAGTTCTGCAGTTCCTGCAGATCTCTAAAAAATCTGTATCATTATACAACATATTATTTTCACATCTGAACTACTGGGTTTTGGTTCAAGTGGTATTTAAAGATGCACTTCTAAATTATTCACTGTCTTTATTTTAGAAGCCAATTCACAAAATTTCCATGACTTCTATTAGAATTTACTGAATAATATGTGAAATGCTGGTATCTTAATCTTACCAACAAATGCATTATCAATATTTTGTTTTGCTTTAGAAAATGTCCACCAGAAGCACATTTTATTTTAGGACTTCTTTGGAAATTCAAGCATGACTGAATGCATTAGGCATGTTTTTCATACTTGCTTTAATAAGGACTGACCCAGTTAAGGAGAGGGTCTATGCATAACTACATGTTCACAATTGGCTCACAGTGTCTCTTCCAAAATTAATATCTAGCCTATATGCTTAACTGTTTTAGAGCCCAGACATTTCTTTTATCTTAAATTGCTAAAATATATATATATAATATATATATTATATATATTTATCATTTCAGAGTTTCTTATAAACATGATGTTAAGGTATACAACAAATAACTATATATTTACAAAGGTTTAACAGGTATATCTGGAGTGTTAATTTGTTATCTATTAATTTTTTATCTAATAACAAATTATAAATGTTGAAATGCTTCAATTTGATTTCTAATTGAAACTCACGTCCTTTGCTAATACCGTTTCAGCAAGTTTGAAGTTATTTTAATAATCAGCAAGAAATTTCTTTTTTTCTTTTTTTTTTTTGTTGGGTACCGGGGATCAAACTCATGTCCTTGCGCTTGCGAGGCAGGTGGTGGAACCACTGAGCTAAATCCCCGACCCTGCAAGAAATTTCTTAAGAAACGAGGACTGGGTTTCTCATTTGAGAATGAGAGAAAAATAATTCTTGATGATTTCTACACATTTCAACTTTCTGATTTTTATACAAAATCAGTAAGCATGTAACCTTAATATTTTAAGCATGATTGTGTTATGAAATGCTTATGTTAATTTCATGCTTATTGCACACCATGACGATAATGTATATTTCTCCAGTCACATACTTTATTTTTAATTTCAAAAGCATGTTATCAGAGATAAAATTAATTTTAAAATTTCACATTTATATAATTTGAATATCTAGTCCATATATCAACAAATCTAATTTTCATCTTAGGAACTTTTGTTTCTTCATGGGAATCTTCTGATTCCTTATAATAAAGAAACTGAGTGTCAAATGATAAACTTCAAAAATTTCTGTGAAATACCCACTATTCATTGCCTCCTATCACTTTTGTTAGCTAAAATTCTTTAAATTTCATTCTACTGAAGATAAAATGGATCTTGAAATTCCATAACTTTCTGAATATAAGAGTTAACAAGGCATGTAATAGTATACTCAACTATAATGCTAAGTGCATATGTACTGTTTGAAAGTAAAGTCTTCTAAAACTTTACTTTCAAATGTACTTATTAAGAGTGTTTTACATGGTCAAAACTTTTTTCAGGATGCATAGAATGGCAAGCATTTTGTTTATTTAAATAATGAATGTAATTGCTATCGTATGTTGTATTTATTGTAAAAAATTAATCTGTCTTCCCATGTAAGTATATTCATATTCATAATCAAGCAATACATTGAGTTAAATTGCCTAACTTGTTTATAACTTAAGATGCAAAAATATGAATTCTATATAAACTATCAAATAGCAACTGTATTGTCCACTGAAGTATATTTTAAAACTACATATAAGAATTTATTTAAGCATCATTTTTTCTTCCATCAAATAGTTCACCTCTTTCATATTTAAATATATAGTTCAGATTTATGATCAGTTTCAAACTGCATATAATTAGTTTTATAAGTTGACCATTTACTGTATGAGTTTGAAATTGTTCTCTGATAAATATGGGCAGATGTCTAATTGGTTATAAATTTTAGAACAAACACGTGTGAATATAAGAGATATTATCAATAAAATCCAAAACATAAAAAACAACACGAAAATTGTTTAAGACACATTTTAGTGTAATTTTTCTTGCCAACTGATGGAAAGATCTGCTTAAGAGAAAGAAACAGCTCCGGACCCAACCTTTCTGTGAGTGAATTTTTAGATAACCTTCCATTTGAGCAGTGAGAAGTACAACTGAACCCAGGACATTCTGCTCTGGAGTCAGTGTAACTGACTAAAAACATTTCTCCATAATGGAGAGAATTCTGCCTTTACATATGAATTGGAACAACTATCGGGCACTTATTAGAAAATACTCTCCTCATTTGCAAAAGCTCTATTTCTATTTTTTTCTTCAATTCTCTTTTTTTAAATCTCTTTTCCTTTCCTTCCTTCCCCCTCCACTATCATAATAAAAAAATTTAAAATAAATAAAAATTTTAAAAAAGAAAATATACTAAGAACTTTATTCGCATTACATTTATCACATAATCTCACTGGGTTCATATTGTTACCCCATTTGATGGGTAAGGAACCTGAGGCCAGGGAAAGATCCCCAAATTGACTATGCTGTAGATAGCAGAACCACAGCTCCACGTCCTCCTCCCAGCAAAGCCCAGATTCTCCCTCAATTCTCTTGGCCATGATATAAGGAAATAGACTCTACTAAGTCTATCACAGATTTATCTATAATAATGAAAACTGTCCTAGTCTCAAACACTTTAATGATGTAATTACATACATTACACAGAAGGACTTTACAGGAGTTCACTTGTAGACAAAGCCAAATATGATCACGTTTTCCACAATGTTATCCCTGTTCTCCTTTAGAATAACCATCTGTGTTAAAAATCCCTTCTAAGATTTCTGTATCAAATTCTCCTCTCATCCCTCTTATTCCTAAACATTCTTACTATTATTCCAAAAAGATCATTTCCCTCTATTACTTTGATTGTATATCCCATCGATACCCACCTGTGACAATAAGTTTTGTTCCTCCACCAAAGATTTTCTTAGCAGATGTACACAGTGATTTGAACCATATCAAAAAGCTTAGACCAGTTTAGTGTTCCTGAGTTCTTCAAATCCTAGAGGACCCTGATGACCTGGAATTCTGTAGAAATCAGTTCTGTTTCTGGTTCATTTTGCTCATAACAAGTTCTGTGGCTAAGAAAAACAAATGACTAAATTTTTTTGGTGTTTTATTTACTCTCAAAGCAATGCTGTTAGTATAAGTTAATTCAACATCACCATTACTGAAGTGAGATCTAATAAAATATGAAAACAATTTTATTTTAAAAACTGGTTTTTACAAAAAAACTGGTTATTACTATCATAATAACCAAGAAGTTAAGAGATTATTATCATCATCATTGCTAATTAGGAATAATTTGGCTGGGGATTTAGCTCAGTGGTTCTGCTCCCTGCCTTGCAGGTGCAAGGTCCTGAGTTCAATCCCTGGTACCAAAAAATAAAAGGAATAATTTGGTTGCTCTGTGTGTGCCAACATGACAGTATAATCTCATAGGATCAAGCCCTGCCTTTACTCAAAGAAATTCAGCATTTTGCCATTGTAGTTAAACTCATGGCAGTAAAGTTCATTCCTCTGGCCTCCATTTGGATCTGCTTTGCTCTAATATGCATACAGCTCTCAAAGACATCATCACAGGAAACCTGCTTTGCACACATCAAACTTCAGAAGGCCCTCACTGGTCTTATCTGTGACTTAAGATAAAGGAGCCTTGTGCAAGCAGAGATGAGAGTCAGGACATGAAGGGGCTTCATTTGTACTGCCCTAAAATAATGGCTGTTTTCCCAATCTGCAGCACAGCACCTATGAATTCCAAGCTTTCTTCCAGGCTGTTCAACCTCAAACCATCTTCCATCAGGTCATGCTAAAACCTAGCTTATAGCTCCTGGCCTGGCTGTTCCAGACAGAATCACTAGAGAAGTGTCAGGAGGCCTGGTACACCAAGCTGTTTAGGTCCCTAAGTGCTGTCTGCCTGATGCTATGTGCTGAGGTCCCAAAGTGTGCATGACATTAAATGTCAGGAGGTCTACAGTGCTAGGCCACTGTGATGTGCAGTGGATTTTTGTAATGACGTTTCCTCCATTTCCCAAAATGGATTTTAAAGGCAATGTCCACTGTATACTTGGATTTCCCCCTCAGGGACTCATGAGTTTTCTAATTTTATAATGGCAAAAACATCATATTTGAAAAGTTGTTGTGTCCCTTTTATTCAGTTGATCAGAACTATTCCACTGCAGTCTTCTTCTACCCTTGAGCATAAAATTTTACACTTCCATCTCTCAGGGATCAAGAGTTGGTTTTACTCTTGTTAATGTCTCCCATGCCAGATCAGTAACAGTAGTGTTTCATAGGACCTGGGCCAAGTCTCCTGGGCTCTCTAGAAATCCCACTGTGATAAGGGACCAAACCACAGGCAATTCCAAGAACTTTGAGCCAGCTCCTGCACTGGAGCCAGCAGCACCTCCATTCCCACCTCTTCTCCCCACTTTACAGGATGAAAAAATTTACCTGTAAGAATGAATTTTATTCCAGGACCACCTTGATTACAGTGCATCCACTCACTCCCTGTAAAGCCTTTTTAAAAGTCTCCCACTCTGCCAACATTTTTAAATAATTTATATAAATACATAAAAATTGTTCCCACCAACAGTTAAAAAAAGTCAAAGCTCATAAAAAATTTCCATTATATCTGAGTATAATCAGGAATTTGAGAATGAGCCCACTCTGCCAGGTAATTTGGATTATGTCTGTTCTCTCCTATCACATTAGTTGGAAAGAATGATTTTATCTTTTTCAGGATTTGCCAGAAGCTTCTAAATCTCTTCCCAGAGTGTGATTTAATTAAAATTTCCTCAATTATAAAGAGAACCAATGATAATAATAATATATTTGATCATTTAGTAAGCCTGTATGCAATATGATTTGTAGTTATTTGGGGATTCATACAGAAGGATGGATATCTGAGCTGATTATAAATTAGCTTCTTCTTAAAATCCAAATCCCATTGATAGTAGACTTGAATTGTTTGGAAATATGAATTCTTAATGATGATCTCTCAAAGATTTCTCCTTTTAGTAAGGTAATATAT